CTCTCTCTCTCTCTCTCTCTCTCTCTCTCTCTCTCTCTCTACACTTATCTAATTATCTCTGTCTCTGTGTTTTAAGGAGGGGGATCTCGCAGAAGGCGAACTCTAATAAATTGCACGAGAGATTCGCTTTGAAACTATGCACTTTGACACACTTTGCGAGACATTCTTCCGTTTTTAATGAAAAACGTCCGAGTGCCTTTGACGATGCCCAAGGAAGGGCCATTGTTCCGTTTCCTTCTGATGGTATGGACATAAGTGTTTAGGAAGTTGGTCCCCTCGTGTACATAGTTTTCCTCAACGTAACCTCGAGTCGCGTCACAAATTTATCGAGTTGATTTAGAACGTTTTATCAAACATTCGAAAGGATTTGAAGGGATGTCGAAGGAATAAAATTATGAGAAAATGGTTTCGTTTATTTTAAAATTTGCGACTCGATGGATTTAAAAATCTCTTGGGTGTATAATTTTTATAATTCGATGGCTGCAAATGGAGTTGACGAAACTTGATTACGTTTTTACTTATTAACATTAAAGCACAAGTACGTGGAAAAAGAAATTAAGAAATATCCGTGACTTTTGTTCTCAACTATTATTCCTTCGTTTCGTTGCTCTCCAATATGGAGGGAGGGATTTAAAATAATTATGGCGTGCATATATAATAAATTGAAACATTGTATCTTAGTGTTGCTATTGGTTTTAGCTTTTTCTGTTTCTTGGTCTCCTCTCACGCGATAGTAAAAGAATAATGAATAGTTTATTCGATATTGTTTCATAGAATTTCGTTCAAAAATCCTCTCATTTTCTTTTTTTTTATAATAACTTTTTAATATTCTCGACAGATAAAGTCTCTATCATTCGAGTAGAAATAATAATAAAATATTCTTAGGATCATCTGTATTATGGACAGATTGGACAATTTTTAATCACGTCGAAACTACTCTTTCTGCCAATAAATTGGAAACTCTTAAATTTCCCTTCTTTCAACCAGTTAATTTCCCTACAAAATCTTACCGAATATTTTTATTATTTTTACAACCATAACTTTGCTTCAACGAGAAATACATAAATATTAAAATCCTGGAAAACAGAATTCACTCAAATCTTTTCTCTCGATTACATATTTTCCCTATTCTCTATCTCCTAATACACCTTTTCTTTTTCGTTCATACGTCCAAACTGTGCCCTCCTTTCGTGCAAAAAAAAATAGAATAAAGAAAAACTATACGAAGAACCAATTCCCCCTTCCTCCTCCCTCCAGAACGATAAAAGCAAAACTTTCTTAACCTCATTACTTACCCAACGACGCAAATTTCCTTTTTAGCAAAATTCTTTTTACCCCCTCTCCGTCCCACCTCTCGTTTCGTTCACCGGACACTGTTTGGGGAGAGGAGAGGGGAGAATAAAAAAGGAAAGGATTCGTGCCGTTGCCAGGATAAATAACGCAAAGCAAGGCTCGAGTTTTGCTCGATAACGATGGAAACACGGTTGGACGAAGCAGGAAGAATCGGTGGACAAGGAGAGATTGTGGAAAAAGTTAAATAAATCGCCGTCCAAGTTCTCGAAAGAGAAGTATCTTTCCTCTTCTCTTTGTTTATTTCTAAGATCTTTTCTAAAATCTTCAATGCTTCTCGTCGTTCTTCTTTTCGGGAGTGGGGGAAGGAGCTAAGTTGCCATTCTCTCCGCCAGGGGGGAGTAGCGTCGCGGCGACGTTGCCTCGTTTCTGTCTCTCTCTGTCCCGTCTTCTCTCCGCCGTTTCGCGAACCAACGAAAAGCTAATTGAATTGTTGATGAGTTTACCACGGTACTTAATTATTCGCCTGTTTGTTCGACCTAGTTAGCACACGTCGAATTGGCAAATTTCGGGTCGGGTTGGTTTCGATGCGCCGATTGCTAATTATCGCGCGTAGTTTGGAGGGGGGCTAGGGGAAATTCGCTGGAAATTCGTAATTAGATCGATGGTAAATATTTATGAAAAGGTATATATTATGTAACTGTTATGATATTGTAATCGATTGTTAACGAAATTGAATAAGAAGAAGAAAACTCGTTCAACTTGAAGGGAATTTTAGGTTAATTTTCTTCCTGATTACAACCCACTGATTGTAAACAAAGGAAAGATATAATTTTTAGAGAACAATATTACTCTTTATCTTTAATTTATTATTTCGTCATAACGCACGTGTATAATATACGTGTATAACAAAAGAATTATTATAAAATTGAATTTAATTAATTTAATATATATTATTAATTTATTAATTTATACTATATTAATTTAATATAGGTTAAAAAGGAAAGTAAGGAAGTAATCAATACATAAAAGATATATATAATACAACTTGCAATATAACTTTAAATAAAAAAATTAAGGAAAGAAATTAATAAACGAATTAATACATAAAAATGAAAAGAACAAAACGAAATTACAGTTTTTTAATATAACACTGTAACAATAAAAAATATACTTACATTATTAAAAATTATTAAAAATTATGCTAGTTTTGTACTGTTCCACGACTCGAGTTGCTACGAGTGACTTGGACATTTTTAATTAAATAAGACAAGATCATTTTCACCTGTTATTAAGAATCGCTATCGATCGCTTCGATCCTTAACCCATCCAGATATATATAATAAATCTCCAAAGCGTAGAATTCGATCAAAGTTAGTAAAAAATTAATCCCCGGGACGACTTGGCGCGTTCAAAGAGACCGCATCGCTTGATTTTTTAATTAAAAAACGCGGGGGGGGGGGGGGGAAAAAGGGGAAGAGTTTAAGGGGGAAAGGGGGGGGGGGGGGGGGAAAAAGGGGAAGAGTTTAAGGGGGAAAGGGGGGGGGGGGGGGGGAAAAAGGGGAAGAGTTTAAGGGGGAAAGGGGGGGGGGGGGGGGGAGGAAAGAAGGGGAGAGATTAAGAGAGAAAGGGAGGGGAGGGGAGGGAAAGGACAAAGGAATCGATTTGCCGTGCACGGGAAGCATCGATTTAAACGCTTGGCTCTCTCTTGGCTCGCAGTTTTAAAGGACAGGCGCA